CAACGCCAGCAGTCTGGAAGCAGTTCAACCAACTTGGGAATGCGTCATTTTCCGTTGAATTGGGCGCAACAGGGACCGGCCCGGCTGACAACTCCTACGACATGGGGGGGGGGGGGGGGGGGGGGGCGGCCTGGCAGCCAACTCCCGGACGACGTAGGCCGACAGCAGGTCACCGCCGGGTTCCAAAAATTGCGTCGGTCGGACATGGGGGTCCAGACCCACCAGCCAGACTCGCTAGACTACAGGGGAGACGTCGGCCGCCAGCGGGTGGTGCAGAACAGCCGTTGGGCGCAACAGGGACCGGCCCGGTGGAGCCGCCAAGTCACAGATGGTGGCCGGCTGATTTGGCAATCGGTCAACTGCGTTTACTGCGGCGCTGGGCTATGCGAGAAAGACACACACACGTAGTTTCGAGGAGAGAGAGGAAAGAAAAGAAAAGGAAAGGAAAAGGGAAAAATAAAATAAAGTCCGAAAATAATTATAAAATAATAATAATAATGAATTTCAGGAATTTTTGGAGCTGGCCTAGATTCTGAAGTCTGGGAGAAAGCTGACTGCTGGAATGCTAGGATGGCAAATGAATTAATTTGGAGCTTTGTTAAAGTTGAAAGCCTTATTTAAAATTTGGAAATCTCCATAAATTGTGGGATTAACAGAATCCACAATTAGGCTCCCTGGCATGCGAATATTTTTTACATTGGCAGCTGACTTGAATTACTCCCTCTTAGCCGAGTCGACTACTCGACTAAGGGAGTGGGAGACTCATGATGGGGGTTATATGACTAAGCCCAGAGCCTAATCGGCCTAGACCCCGAACTTGGACCCGCAGGCCCAAGCCCAGCGACCCAGAGCTGAAGCCGGCCCAACCGATCAGTCCCATCAGGAAGCCCAAGACGACCTGCCTTCCAAGCCAACGGGGAGCCTGCCTTCCAGCCCATCCAAAAGCTTGTCTCCAGCCCAATGGGAAGCCTGTCGTCCAGCCCAACAGGGAACCTGCCTTCCAGCCCAGCGGGGAGCCTACCTTCCAGGGCAGCCACGAGCCTGCCTCCAGCCCGGTGGGGAGCCTGCCGTCCATCCCAGCGGGGAGCTTGCCTTCCAGGCTAGCAAAATGCCTACCTTACAGGCCGTCCAGGAGCCCACCATCCAATCCAGCAGGAGGGAGATCAAGCGTCCGGCCTGCCAGCCAGGCTGACCTGCCAGCCAAGAACAGTAACATTGGCTGTGCGACTTAATTATGTATTTAATTCCGTATTAATGTTGCAATTAATTAGACATTACTATCTTTGGCAGTTATCATTTGAAATTGCCTATAAAAGGCAAGTCCGATTCAAATAATAGACACGCTATTCTTGGCAACTAAAACCTCTTAGCATCTTTCCTTATTCATATTACTTTCCTAATTCCTGCTTGAGTGTTCTTACGTAGCTTTCCTAAAAGCCTACGAGCGTCCTATTTTTGACCAACACTCCGTATTAGGAAAATAACGAGCTTTGTAGACCCTCCCGACCGATGAATGAGGTGCTTGAATCAAACGCACAACCTGTTTACCCAACATAGCAATATTTAACTCTCAAAGCCTGTGAAATCCTAAACCCCCTAGGCTCTTCGGCATACACAAACCCTTCCATGACTTCCATCTTATCCCTCACTTGTCCCAATCTACTCCTCTCCACCAGTACCCATTCATAATTCTTTCAATTTCTTCAGTCGGCTCCTTTGGCAACAAAAATACGTTCATCGCATAAGTGGACATTGCTTGAATTACTAATTTTAGTAGCACCTCTCGACCTCCCTTTGACAAAAAAAATGATTGTTGCAACTTTACACTCTCTTATAATTCTTTCTTGTACATAACTCAAAATGTCTTTCTCTCTTCGCCCTACCAGGGCTGGCAACCCCGGATACCGCAACAAGTTCCCTTCCCTAGTTACACCTAGCCAGCTACAACACTATTGTCTTACCCCCTCCATAACATTTACACTAAAAGTCAACAAGATTATGTATAATTTATGGTCATCCCTAAAACCATTTCGTACAAATTAAGAATGTCTTTTACCACCAAACACTCCCCTATTGTAGCTTTAATTTGAAAAAATTATAGCTGTCATCTGCAAAGATTAAATGAGAATTTTTTGGAGCTCCCCTCGCCACCGCTACTCCACTAATACTGCCTCGCTCTTCTTGCTTTCTCAACATGGAGCTCAATCCCTCTGCCACAAGAACAAAAGGATAAGGCGAGAGGGGGTCTCCTTGTCTAAGACCCCTCCCAGGCAAAATTGGTCCCAATACTCCCTCTTCAAAAGGAACAAAATAACTAATCGTAGATACACATTCTAAAATCATATTCACCCACCTGACATCAAAACCCAGATTTAGCATCACTTGATGACGTGCACTTTGTCGTGGTGTGCACTCAAAATAATATTCAACACTAACACTTATACGTAGTATAGCATAGTAGAGTTCGTATCCACAGGGAAAGGAATAATTCTCTTTTTGTGAAGTAGTAAATAGAGGGGGGTTTTGGGGTTGAATGATTTAATTTAATAAGAAACTAAGATGAACAACTTATATGTGTTTTAATTCAAAGATAAAAGGAGCTTGGCTTTGCTACTTTCCACTTGTTGATATATTTAGTCGATCCTTGTTATATCTATAACTTATCCCCTCTCGAATACTCAATCGATGAGTATATCCAATTCATCGAGGGTAGTTATTAACAACGACCATTCATTAATAACCCTTACTATTAATCAAATATAGAACAACGCTTTATACCGATTTAAGAGTAGCATTAAATCTTTCTATCTCCTTGATGAAATCAATTGAGATTGATAACCTCAACACAACAGTTTCGGTTTAACCAACAAAATTAATCCCTCTTAAGTTTATTAACCACGACCATGCATTAATAAACTGAAGTTACTTACTTGTGAAACCATCAACGATTAACCATCGGTTCGTTGATCGTTTCTAGTAATAATTAATATTGAGATGTTGACTAATTGTCATTTTAGCAACACTCCCCAACATTAATATAAAAATAGATTAAGAGAAAAATTAATAGTCAAGGAGAGAAGTTAAGAAAATAACTCACAACTTTAAGGCTAAAGGGTCAAATAGGTCCTTGTACTCATATCAATAGCTCAATTGGGTACCCGAACTAAAAAAAGGTCCAATCCAATCCTCCAACTCTTCAAAATCGTTCAATTTTTTCGTTTTTCAAAGGCTAAAGGGTCAAATAGGTCCCTGTACTCATATCAATAGCTCAATTAAGTACCGGGAGTTTACCGGCTAAAGGGTCAAATTGAACGATTTTGAAGAGTTGGAGGATTGGATTGGACCTTTTTTTAGTTCGGGTACCCAATTGAGCTATTGATATGAGTATAGGGACCTATTTGACCCTCTAGCCCAACTTTAATAATCAACAATCTTCAAGAGCAAAACCAAGAAATGAAAGTTTAGCTCCTCATTTAGAGACTAAACATACTAGAAAATATAAAGAAATGTTATTCTAAACTGAGCTTAAGAGTATATGTGAATTGGTGGTTTTAATGTGAAGGAAAAGAGATACATTTGTAGCAAAATGGAGGTGGCAGGGTGCTGCACTCGATCCAGTATATGGGATACTCGACCGAGTACAAAAGGTAGTTTCCAGGAAATTGCGAAATATAGGCATACTCGACCGAGTATGGAGTGATACTCGGTCGAGTATGAGACCGGATTTCCATCAAATATTCAGCCATGTTCTTTTGCTCCCAGATTTGATTTTGACCAGCGTATCCGGTCAATACTCGACCGAGTATTGGCAATACTCGACCGAGTACATGAACGGATTTCAAAATCTTCATCTGATCTTCTCCCTTTTGCACATTCTTTGGTCTTTAGGATCCATCCTTTGATTCTTGGAATGATTTTGACCATTCCTAAGCTCAGAATAATCTTAATCTAAATAAATTACAAATAATTTAACAAACTAAAATATTACACCAAAAGTGTGTAATTCCAACGTATCAAACAACAAAACTAACTAAAAACATAAATATACACACGGAAATTACAAAGGTATCACTTGACGTAAAAATCTCATTCAACATGATCATAAGCTTTGCTTATATCAAGTTTCAAAGCCACAAAACTCTCTTTCCCTAGTCACTTTCTCTTAAGAAAATGTTGTGTTTCAAAACCCACCATAATCTTATCCACTATACTTCGTCCCGACACAAATTCACTCTGATTTTCAGACACCAATCCATTCAATAAGCCTTTCATATGATTATCCAGAATCTTTGAATTTTTTTTGTACACAATATTACACAAAGCACTAGATTTGTGTTTTTAGGAATTGAAACTAGATTTGTTTTATTAATTTCCTTCGGTACCTTCCTTACCTGGAACATATGATTACAAGAACACGCCATTGATGGTCCCACAATATAATATCCCAAAAATGCTGATAAAATCCCGGGTTGAATCCATCCGGTCCGGGGCCTTATCTGGAAATATATATAAATAAAATTGCATACCTCCACTTCTCGAATTGGATTCAGCAATAAAGAATTTTGTTCCGACGAGACCTTACCTCCTTCGAGGATCTGGTGTTCAACAAATTCATGAACAGAAGTACTAAAAAGGTCTGAGAAATAATTTGATATCATCTTCCCCATTTCTACTTTATCTATGACCCACTACGTAACACTTGAGATTATTTTAAAACGATTAATAGTAGTACTCATACCAACAAGGTTCATCTCCTTTTAAGGGAGCTCATTACCTAAGAACTCCAAGTTAAGTGTGCTTGCATGGGAGTAGTATTGGGATGACTGACCCCTTGGTAAGTTTCTCAGTGTGCGCACGAGTGAGGACAAACTGCGCGTTTAAGGCTAGTGGTGGTTTGTGAGGACAGTACTAGAGGTCTGAATTAACTACCTCGGGTACTGCGGGGCCAGGGTGTTACACACTCACCCCTTTCATTCAAAAGTCCCAACATATTGTTCCCTCTTCGCCGTTGCTTGACTTTATTATGAAAAAATTGAGTGTTACGGTCCCCATCACAGAACCCGAATTCCTTCGCTCTCTGTTTCCAGAATATATTTTGCTTCTCTACCAGATCCGAATATGTATTTTTAACTCTAAAAAATTCTGATTGACTAGCCTCATCTTCTCTTCCCCGAAACCACTGCATATGCCTTTTACATATATCCACTCTAACTTGGTAGCCTCGTTTGATCCCTTTCCCCCATCTTTTCATTTCTCTCCCACAATGGCCTAGTAAATTCCAAATTTCTCCATCCCCATTCAACCTCCAGCTTCTGGCAACAATGTCCATACAATCCTCCTCCTTTAGCCATACGTTTTCGAACTTAAAAGATCTGAGTGTGTTTCCCCTCATTGATTGACCCAACTTTAGGAATAACATAAGATGATCACCCGTTGGACCCTCTAAAGAACAAGCAGCAACATCCCCAAACATATTCAGCCAACCATCATTCACCAAAATCATGCCTAGTTTTTCTTGCACCAAAGCTTGTGTTCCCCTCCCTCTCTCCCAGGTAAGTTGGTAGCCTTCAAATCTAAAAATCCTCAAGCCTCAGAACCAGATAGCTTCCCTGAAGCCTCCCATACGCTGCCACTCCACCTGCGGCAGCCTTCCTCTTTTCTCACTGGCGTACATAACGTCATTGAAGTCACCCATCACCAACCACGGCAATGATCCTCTGCAACCAGGAGACTTCAATGTTGGAATCTGCCCAAGGATCAACACACACATATAGGCAATGGAAGAAGAACACAAAGATATCCATACAGGATATCCAAGCTTCTCTACGCTTTCTGCAATCAGGATATCCATACATACTAGTGAATCTCCATCTAAGTAGCACCGGGACGGAAATGGAAACGGGGACGGGGAAACACTAAACTCAAAATATCAGGAAACAGGTACGGCAAGGAAACGTCAAACTAAAAATTAATTTTTTTTACTAATATAAGTAATGCATACGTCTTACTTCTGAAGTAAGTTCCATATTTGAGTATAAAGAAAGGTTCGTACTTACTAGAACTTGGAAACAATTGAAATTGAAGAGAGAATCCTCTCACCCAAAAACCAAAGCCTTCTCTTCGGACCTATCCAGTGAAGTAGCGAACCAGCACGGCAGCACTCCCTGCCTCCCTGGAGTCCAGGCGATGATGATAGTCGATGGTCTCTGTCTCGTTCGCAGGCTTGAAGCAACAACTCTTCGCAAATAACCCTTCGCACTTCGTTCGCAGTCTTTGGCTCTTCACACTTCGTAGAATCAGACTCGCAAAGAGGTAAGTTTTGACACTATTGATCATTTTGTTATGGAATGTCCTTTGAGTAAAATGGTGTGGACTCATTTTGAAAACCTGTTCACTTTCAAACCCAGTTCCACAAATACTTTTCAAACCTATCTTTTGGGGTGGTACAATGATCTCAAAAGGGGTATTACGGATATCAATTATGTTCTTCCTAATGTTATTACTTGGAACTTGTGGAAGATTAGAAATAAGCTTATCCATGATGATACTAAGGCTTTCTTACCTGAGGCGATCCAAGCTATAAAAGCTGACATATTGGCCATATCTGGGGCGAACCCTTTTCGAACTGTCAACCCTCAAACCCCCCTTAACATACACATTATCCTTCCTAATAAGATTAGTCCTGGCCGTTTGCTTAATACCTGGAATAAGCCGATTCATAACTACCACAAAATTAATCTTGCAACTAGGCTTATTACCCCTAATCTTGTTAGATCTGCTGCCCTTATTCGTGATGATAATGGTAACTACACTAGTCACATAACTTCCATAGCCGCAACCCTTGACATCACTGTGGCAACTTATGATGCCATCATTGATACTCTCCAAACCATTCCTAAAATCAATTTGACTAATTTTGTGCTTGAGGTTGATAACAGTGAAGTGTATGAAGGAATCATGGGAATGAAGAAACAACATTGGAGGACTTGGTCTCGGATCCAGACCATTAAACGCAAGCTAAAGGCATACAACTGGAGTCTTGCACACATTCATCCGACAATCAACAAGGCTGTTGATTATTTGGCTTATAAGAGCACTTCCATGAAAACCAAGAATCATCATTTTAATCATTTTGTTGGTATTTTAAAGTTTGATGCGGTTAGCTATCCGTATGTAATTTGATTTTGAGTAGGTTTCGGTTTGGTCCCCCTACTCTTTGTACTCTTCTTTCTAATAAACTGGTAGGGTGTTTCCCGGCCCCAACCCCAAAAAACCGTTATTAGTAAACGGTTTTTTGGTTTGAATACCGGGTTAAAAAAAAAGAGGTAAGCTTCGATCAACAGACCAACCTTTTTTTTTAATTTTCCGAAGAAACGTGTCACCCATACCCAACGTCGTTTCCGAAACGTTTCCCCAACCCGGCCCAACAGCCCAACACCTCAGAAACGTTTCCCAATATTTCCACGGTGTTTCCCGGCATTTTGCATTTCTGAAACGTTTCCGGGACGGAAACCTCCCCCCCCCCCCCCCCCCCCCCAGTTCACATTTCCGTGCTTCCTGGATCTCCATTCTCGAAGCTCTGAATCTAACCGTATGGTACAATCAATATAATAGCTTTCCCAACCTCGAACCCTAACCTATGCGTCCATTCTGTAAAATAGGGCTAATCCCCCGCTAAGTCCATAGCTCTGCACCACGAAATAGTTCTCAAAACCTAACTTCGTTTTGACCTCCTTCACTCGATCCTGTGATGCTTTCGTTTCTATTAGAAGTATCACAGAAGACCGTTTTTCTAGAACCAAATCAATTAAAACTTGTACGGTTGCCAGGTTGCCTAGACCCCTGCAATTCCAACTTACCAAGCTCATTGTTCTTGCCCGAAAACCAGAAAAGAAACAAGGGAGAAAGACAAAAAATGACACTATGGTTTTTAATGAATTTCGGATTAGACACTAAAGTTTTAAGTAGACCAAATAAACACAAAATTATAGTTTTTGGGTCCATTTTGACCACCCTTTAACACCTCCGTTAAAGTAGCCTTCCCCGTCGTTAACTCCTCATTCCAAAAGCCCCCTGCAAGCGACTTCCACACTAGCCGAGGCCCCACCCCAGTCCAACACCCTGCCCCTCCCCAGCCCCAGTCCATGTCACGTCCTTGCCACCTCCCCAGCTCCAGCTCTGAGCAGCCAAATCCCGATCCACAACTCCCTAGCCCGAGCTCCGACCATCCATCTCCAGCCTCCCAAACCAACCCCCTCCCGAACCCTAGCCACAGCCCCCTCGCAACCCCCTCTCAGCCTCGTAGCCCTCGTCACCAGCCTAACACCGTCCCATCACCTATTTTCGCTGCCTACAGTCGCATCGTCACCCACCCCTAGCTGCCGGCGAGATGCTCCAGATCGAACGGCGGTAGCTATAGCTTCGGTGATGTCGTGATTCTACAATGGTGAAGCCTGCGTTGGGTAATGGGGTAGGCTTTGACGGCGAGGCGGTGACCCAGAGGTAATCTTCCAGGCAGGGCGATCGACCTCCATTGTTCCCAGCTTTAATCGGATAGGGAGTTAACGAAGGGGAAGGGTTAGCGTTAAAGGGTGGTCAAAATGGACCCAAAAACTATAATTTTATGTTTATTTGGTCTACTTAAAACTTTAGTGTATAATCCGAGATTCGTTAAAAACCTTAGTGTCATTTTTTATCTTTCTACCAAGAAACAAAGCACCCAAAGCTACCGAGCAACGAAGCTGCGGCGATTGAAGAAACAAAACCTAGATACCTAGGACGAGTCCACTTCTTTCGGTATTGTTCAACTTCTACTTTAGTATATTTTTTTTTTGCCAGGAAATAATTTATATTAGAATCAAATAAGCGAATACAATATTCAAGTCCCAATCCTTAACTTTCCCACTTGACCAACTAACCCAAAAGCCCATCGGCTCCCTCACGTCATGTCCAGACATAGAATAGTCCACCCTAAATAGAGCGGGACTAATCGCTGAAACGGTGAGAGCAAAGAGGTTATTAGCGGCTGAGTCAGCCTGATTGCCTCCATCCATAAAAAGCCTGATCCCAAGACACCTACCCACCAAACCAGTACCCTTATTTTAAGCAAAAATAAAAAACAACAATAGACTGAGTCTTGACAAAGAAATAAGTAAAAACAAAAACAAATTTCTAGGTGATGGAATTTGCATGCTTCCATCCCTGCAGCTTCCTCTTTCGCAACTTTTAGATGTCTATACGGCGGGTATTGTAACCCGCCTTCTACCCGTTTTTATGAGTCCATCTCCACTTCCATGTTATTTAGCACTGCCTCTGGTTCTCCATGATCCTCTCGCCTCCGCTTCTGCTTTAATTTGTCTCCCATATGGGCATTATCTTTCCCTTGTTGCGGCTCTCCCTGCACTCCTGAGTTTTCCATTCCTGTTCTCCCCTCTTCTTCTTTTCCTTTTCCTTTACCAACTAGGACCAGCCATTTATCCCCCCTCCCGCTGTTACATTTCCTATAGCCACTCTCAGCTCAGGTCCAAACAATAAAACTCCATTTTTGCCTTTACCATCTCGGTAGCGCGGGTAGAATCTTTCTGCGTGTCCAATAATCCCGCATGCAAAACAAAAGCTAGGCAATTTTTCGTACCTAAATTTCACACAAAAGTTTCCCCCTTCATCTGATTGGAGAAACAACTTTCTTTTCAAGGGTTTATTCAAGTCAATATTAACCCTTATCCTCATATAAGGGTTCCATGTAGCGGAGAGATTCTATTCATCCACCCAAATAAAGTTCCCCACAAAATTCCCAATTTTTATGGCATTTTTCATAGAAAAAAAATCTCATTGGCACATCATGAACCTGTATCCAGAAATCAGCCATGTTCAATGGTACTTGGAAAGGCAAGTCTTTTGGCTTCAACTTAGCAAGAACGATGAGGTTTTGGTCAAAAGTCTATGGTCTGTCCTCCAAAACACGTGCCAAATCGCTTTCACTATAGGATTGGAACAAATATTTGCGTGCTCCTATTTCAGTAATAGTAACACCTCTAATAGGTTTCCACACATTAGCCATAGTATCACGAAAAAAATGAGAAACGTACCGATTTTTCAGAGGTAATTGTCCCTACCAAAGTTAACCCTATCTTCTCGCTTCCTGGATCTTTAGACTCCAAAAAAAGAAACTCATCTTCTTCCTCCATCTCCATACTACCATATGCGTTTACTAGGCGGTCTATTTCCTCAAATTCGTTCGTGTCCGTCATCTTGGAATGGCCTTTGTTTGCGTTCCACCTACGAAATTGGCTCTAGTGCTATATCACTACAAAAAAACAGTCCGTTTATCACGGATTTTTGTCACGGATTCGGACCGTGACAAAGTTGTCACGGGCTTTGTCACGAAATAGTCATGGAAATATTTGTCACGGAAAAATCCGTGACAAAATCCGTGACAAATGTTTGTCACAGATAATATCCGTGACACAAAGCCTCCGGTGACCGGCAATTTACTCCAGCCAAAATTTATTTACTTCCGAGCAACAAAAATCAAAAAACATTTGTCACGGATCCGTCCGTGACAATTTCCGTGACAAAACTCAATTATTGTTAATCCATCGGTCACCTAATTAATGTTGTACGAAAAGGTGTTTGTCACGGATTTTTCCGTGACAAATCCGTGACAAAAGTTCTATATACCACAACATTGTTTCATTCGACAGATACAAGTTCTAATTTCTTCAGAGTACAATACAATATCTGTTGAAAGATTCAAGGATGTAATCTATCAGTTTATCATTTTCCCTGTTTATGCAGATAAGGTATGTCATTTGAATTATGTATTTTTTTATTAAGTATTAATTATTTTGATTTAAATAATTAAAATTATTAAATTAGTGAGGTAACATTTTTAATTTACTAACAATATATTTAACTATAAACGTAATTTAGTTAAATTTTAATATTAGTTAATTGAAAATGGATTATAAAATTATTCGGTTTGTTTATTATATTAGCAATTATTTTTAATGCCTAATTTAGGATTTATAGTGATTTAAATTAGGTTGTTAATTTATTAACAATATATTTAACTATAAACGTAATTTAGTTAAATTTTAATATTAGTTAATTGAAAATGGATTATAAACTTATTAGGTTTGTTTATTGCATTAACAATTATTTTTAATGCCTAATTTAGGATCTATAGTGATTTAAGTTAGGTTGTTAATTTATTAACAATATATTTAACTATAAACGTAATTTAGTTAAATATATTTATTAGTTAATTGTAAATGGATTATAAAATTATTAGGTTTGTTTTTTATATTAACAATTATTTTTAATGCCTAATTTTGGATTTATAGTGATTTAAGTTAGGATTGAAACATTAGTTTAGTGTAAATTATTAGTTAAATGTAAATATTATTTAATTGAAATGAGTTTGAATTGATAATATTATTAGGCAATACCCTTAATTTAGGATTTAAATTGATAATATTAGTTAAATTTAAATATTAGTTGATTGAAATGGATTTAAATGTGAATTATTTGAATTTCATTTCATTTCATTTACATTTATGTTAGTTAGTTATTTATTGTGTATTATTAGATTTTCATAATTTTAGTATTCTGAAGTAATGCCATTAACGTAATAATTTAGTGTATATTAGTGTTAAAATCCTAATATTGTGAGTTAGTTATTAATTTAAATGATTAATGCCATTAATGTTTTGCTTTTAGTTAATTATTAATAACATTAATTGAACGTTAGTTAATTAATGTTATAGTGAAATTTAATATATTAATTTTCCTAAATATTGTGAATTAGTTAATAATTTAAATGATTAGTGTGTAATTAGTTAATAATTTAAATGATTAATGATTAAATTTAGTGAGCTTTAGTGAAATGTAATATATTAATGTTCGTAAATGTTAATTAGTTATGATTTAAAAGTTAGTTAATTGAAATGATTAATGTCACAAACATATTGCTTTTAGTTATGATTAATTAATGTTTATAATTTGTAGTTTTTATAATATTAAATTAAATTTTTTTATTATAATATTCAGGCATTATGTATAGATAAAATAGAAGTTGGATGCATGATAAACATGGCGAAAAAAGAGGAACGCGACCTCAATATTTTGAAGGAATTACAGAGTTTATTAAATTTGCACTTGAGCATAAG